TCATCTTTTTTAAAAATGCATATATTCACACACCAAAATAAAGTTTAGATATTACTTACATATGTTGTTTTATGTTACATTTTATCACTAATACTGACTAAATGTTCGTTAAATTCAGTATTATGGAAAGTAAAAATTGATCTAAATGCTGAAATAATCATCCTTAACAGCAGCAAAAAAATGAAAACAAAAGCTTAAGAGGGTATTAGTTAAATAACAGCATACCCTGGACAGAATATTAATCTGTTAATCATTCTTTTGTATTTTCTTAGACTAAATTCTTAGAAATGGAATAGCTATTTCAAAGCACACACATATTTTACAAGCTTTTGTTACATATTTTGCTCTCCAAAAATCATATTAAATTACCCTCTTTCCAGCAAGGTATGAGTGAGCTCCTGTCTCCACACACTCACCGTAAGTAGTTTATTTTTTAATCTATGCCAGTTACAAAAAACCCAACAGTATCTCACTGATTTGCATTTCTGGGAGTACAGATAGTGAAGCTGAAAGTTTTTTCATGTTTCCTACTCCTCTTTTTATAAATTACCAGTTTGCCCATTTTTTTCCACGGGGGTGGGGGCGAGGCCTCTTTTGTTGGTGGTGTTCACATGCCCTCTTTTTACAGTAAGGAAAGTAAATTTGCTTGTAAGTTACAATATTTTTCTGTTTGCCAGTCACGTTTTAATTCTGTTTATGGAATTTTAACACAGAGAAGTTTTATTATTCTAAAGTACTCAAATCTTTTCCTTTACAGTTCCTACGCTTGGTGTTATATCTAGGTCTTCTCCATCTTGAGATCGCCATGCTGTTAATTTTTTGGTTCTTAAATTTTTTCTTCAAAAAGTATTTTAAAAGCACCCAAGTTTACCCACCTAAAATGACAGCCATGTTTACTACTTTAAATATCCTCACGGCCGGACACGGTGGCTCATGCCTGTAATCCTAGCACTTTGGGAGGCTGAGGCGGGTGAATCATGAGGTCAGGAGTTCGAGATCAGCCTGGCCAACATGGTGAAACCCAGTCTCTACTAAAAATACAAAAGATTAGCTGGGCATAGTGGCAGGCACCTGTAATCCCAGCTACTCAGGAGGCTGAGGCAGAGGAATCGCTTGAATTTGGGAGGCGCAGGTTGCAGTGAGACGAGATCACGCCACTGCACTCCAGCGGTGTGATACTTCACTAATACATACACATTTTATACATATTTTAAATGGCTGCATCCATTTCATACAATCTATTTTCCAAAGTATTTTCTGACACAGACTTTTAAAAAAATTGCCGCTTGTTAGATTTAAACAGTCTTGAATGGTTTTACAAATTTTTGCAAGGCCAATGAGTCATAACATCACACCCAATTTAACAGTAGCTCCAAAGTTCCAGAACTGTTCGTGTCTATGCTATCAGTGCCCAATCACTCTCCCACAATGTTACTAAAAGACCAGGAAGAATAAGCTCATTCTTGGTAGTGGATCACAGTTCTGCATAATGAATTCTGCCATAATGATCAGATATCAGTCCTTAAAGCATTTTCATTTTAATCTCTTTTAGTCTTCTTCCACCTTCATATAAACTAGTCAAACACTCTGGGAACATTTGGTTAAAAGCCTGAGCTCCGGAGCTACCCTGTCCCGTTTAACTCGGGCTTGACGACCTTCCTAGCCCTGACCTTCACCACTCAAAGTCTCAGCTCCTTCACCTATATTCTGTAAAGCGGGTTAAACCACAGTACCCATGCTTCAGAGGGCACTGGAAGGATGTACGTGAATGCTGATGCATGCAGTACGCTAGGCGCTGGGGACAGATGCACATCACAGTGTCCCTGTCCCAAAAGAGGTCAGTTTGGTGAGAGAAACCACCAAGTATAATCAAAAGGTTAAATACTGTGATCGCGACATAGGCAGGACGACATGGGAACCCAGGGAAGGCTCCTAACCCAGACCAGGACATCAGGGCCAGCTTTCCAGAGATGGTGACGTGTGTGCCGTCAGGTGACAGAAAAGGCAGAGTCAGATTCAGAATGGAACTGCAATGGCGCTGAAGCATGGAGGAACACTAGGAAAAGCAGAACAGTGCTTACTTGGTCCAAGTTTCCCAAGGGAAAAAATTTAACTATCAAACTGAGGCTTCACAACCCTACTTTTCAAACACGAATACAATACTTGATGTTCTTTAAGACCGTTTTTCCAAAATCCTGTTAATGTTAAAAGTTGTAGCATTCCCACGGAATCCACAAACTTTTGGAGCCTGAGGAAATCAGCAGTGTCAATTAAAAACCATCTCATTTTACAAATGAGGAAATATAGGCCCTGCAAAGGTAAGCTTGAACTAGACTCCATGTCTTCTCTCCCAAGCAACATGTTCTACACCTAAGCAAAAATAAATGACTTAAATCTCTCCCTCACAGAATTTTTAGAAGTGAAACACTTCCATAAGTGAATAAAAAACTTAAGTCATTAAATGTTATAATAATTCTGTTTATAGTGTGTTTACTAAATGTTCATATTATAAACAGGAAACTTCCTACAAACAGGAAATTATGTCCTCAGTAGTAAACATAAGGCTTTTTGGATCTATTTTTCATTTAATGCTCATTTCTTCATTTGGAAGCAAAACAAACACACTGATAAACTACCAAATGTTTTTAAAAAGTAAGGCAAACTTAGAATTGGCCCTTAAAATGGTTAACATTCTTTTCCCAGACATACCTAAAAGACAAGTTCAAAATGAAGCTCAGCCCCCCAAAGACATTTTATTCCAGAATGACTCAAGGTCATGGCTTTAGGACCTACGGAGGGCTGAAACAGCAAAACAAACAAAAAACCAAGTTCTTAAGTTTTTAAGGCCCTAATATTTTTAATTTGAAGAATGGCAAGCAACAACTCCTCAATTTAAAGTACATTCATGTTAATTTTCCATGCTGAAAGACAGACACAACGCCTCTGGGTATACTGGGAATGACATTCTGATGAAAGGCCCTCAGAGACCCAGAGATGGTTCCTCCCACAGCAACTTCCTATCCCACTCCAGCACAACCATGGGGTTTGCCTCATCTACAAGGAGGAGCCTTAATTACCAAACTGCTTCATTTCAAAGGCAAGGCTGGATACTCAGCCTGGGGGGAAAAACCTGATCGAGTTTCCAAAGAAGCACCAAACACAAAAATTTTAAAAATCCACACCTTAAAACTAGTTTTAAGGAGAAAAAACGTTAAAGTTTCACAACGTGTTTTCTTGGCACTTTCCTGGACTTCCATAGGTATAGAAAACCCGGGCAGATTTCTGTTAGGGCCCTGTACTAGGTACTGGGGTGTTGCGGGGGGAAGGGAAGTGGATTGGGGGGGTAGAAAAGGAGGGATGAGAGAGACGATCAATTTTACTCGAGAAGCGTACAATAAAGCTTGCATTCTTAACCCCCTTAAGTGCAAGGACTGTGTTTTCTGTAGCCAAAAATCAGGGCATGTTTTCAAACGTTAAGTGTAAGTTAGAATTATTCCAGAAAACTAATTCATTCAAAAAAAAAAAAAAAAGCAACTGAGGCACCACCGTAACCAAGTTCTGTTACTCTCGGGACGCAAAAACAAATAAGGAATATCCCCTGCGCTGGAGGAATTCACAATCGGAAATGTATGGGAAATAAGGCTGTACTGTAGTTAATTACAGCCAGAAGATAACTTTCAGTAAGTGGCAAGAGTCTAATGAACTGCAATATCTAAGGAAACCATGCAGAATCAGCTCAGGCATGCGTGTCTGTCTTCTGATGTGGTACACACATTAGGAGTGGGGGGTGGGGCTGCCTATAAGGACCTGAGCATGTGGCTCTCAGGGAGGGAGGCTTTCATAAATTGGTGAAAAACCTAGCATATCTAAAGTTAGTTTGTTTTTTTGACAAAACCGTTTTTAAAAGATAAGTCAATGAGAAAAGAAGTTTAACGTATTTAGAAAGCAATTCAGCCATCCCTCTCAAGCTTAAGGAACACTCTCCTGAAACCTCCAAAAATGGGCATAATAGAGTTAAAGCGAGCCAGTCTTACGTTTGCATGCTTTGGAATTTGAAATGCAGCGCAACTATTTCGACTCACCATGGAAAACAACAAATAGAACCTTCAAGTAAAACATTTTTCAATATCCAAAAACCTTCTTTAAACAAAGAAAAATCTCACCTCCAAATATTTTTTCCAAACACAATAACTGGTTTTACATTTTAAACATCATTACATATTTAACTACATAATACACTCTACAAGATTTCAGAAAATCGGGTACATTTTCGGGTGCACCATGAAATGAAGTGTTCAACTTAAAACTGCACACACTTCTGCGAGGCGTTAAGATATGCTTAGGTCCTAGAAGCTCCAGGCTTGAAGTAAAAAAGGAATCTAGTTCCTCTTCTGCCGCTTCGTTAAGTGCATTCCAAAAAGTGTGATCGTTTACTCCACTCAGAACTTTTGACGATTTTAATGCTACTACAAGAAAGAGCAATTACACTGGGCAAATCAATATTTAAGTAGACTGCAATTCAGTATTGGCGCACTTACCACTAACCCCTACTACGAACCAGAAGCAACCAAGAGTGACCCAATCGGAAAAGAGAATTCCTCTTTTTGGCAAAGCCAGGCAGAGAGAAAACCTTAACTTTGGGGATTCATTTCAAGGACTGTCTACAAGCATTCCTCTCTCTCTTAATTATCTTATGTCTGCTCTACACAATAATGCACGGGCGGCAGAAACAGAGGTCTTTCAGATCTTGGGGGGAAAAAAGCGCACGACCCCCGAGTCTGAGGACCCCAAGTCCCAGCAGCCTGGCGGGCACACGTTTACCCTCAGGGTCAGGGCGCGCGCTCCCGTTGCGGCCGGGGGCGCGCCGACGCCGCGGCGCAGGGCCCGGCCCGACTCGCGAGCGCTAGGCGGGCGCCGGGGGGCTCTGTCCGGTTCGGCCGCCGGGCTCGCATCCCTGCGCGCATGCCCCGGCCCATAGCCCCAGGAGAACGGGGCAAAAGGGCGACTGTTACCCAATAATAGCGCCCTGCACGTTCGCAACAATGCAGGCAGGGAACCCGAGAGCCGCGGGCAGGGAACCGGAAAGCGAGAGAGCCCGGCTCGGCGGCTGCTCCTGCGCGCGAGCCCAGGGCTCACAGGGGAGCACGCGTCGGCCGGAAAGCAGCGCTGGGGAGAAGCGTGGGCGCGAGGGGGCAAGGGCACGGGTCCCGGCGTCCCGCGGAGGTCGCCTCACGAGGCGAGGCGAGGCGCGGACGTCCGAGCTGCCCCGTGCCACACGTCGGCCCAGCTTCCGAGGGCCCAGCCCGGTCGCGGCGGGGAAAGGTGCCGGCGCCACCAGGCCGCCGCCTCCAGGCGCGATGAATCGGGCTTTTTCCCAGTGCGTAGTCCAGGCCTGGCCGCCCCGGCCCGTCCGGGGTGACTCAGGGCCCGGCCCCGCTCGCTCTCCTGCCGCCCTCGGCGTCCTCCGCCCACGAGTCCCCCGGCCCGGCCGCCATTCCGCCCGGCCGCGTTTCGGCTGCTCAGGCCTCGCCAGGCGCCTGGGCTTGGCCGCCGCGGCCCAAGTCACTGCGACACCGCGGCTCGGGGCCGGGCCTGCGCCGCCGCCGCCACCTCCTCTCGGCCCCGGCGGCTGCCGACACTCACCCGCATCTCTGTGGTGCCCCAAAGGCTCCCGCGACGCCTCCGCCTGGTCGCTGGGCCTGGGCCCCGGCGAAAGCCCCGTCCCGCCAAGGTCTGGCTGCGTCCCTCAGCCACCGGGGCTGCCCCGCCTGGAGCTGCGTGCGACACGGCGCCCGCCTCCTCCTCCTCCCCTGCCCGCCCGGCCCTCCTCCTCCCGCCGCCGCCGCCGCCTGCACCACGCAACCTCCGCCCTCTCGCCTTCCCTCCGCGGCTCCCCGCCCTCTTCGGCCTCACCGGCTCCGGCGACCGCGGGGGAGAAGCTGTTGGGGGAGGGCCGGAACGCACCGCCATCGGCGTCCGGGGCGGGGGAGCCGGGAAACCGTCGTCGCCATCGCCCCGCCAGCCCGAGGCGCGGGAGGGGCCCGGAAAGCTCCCGCCCGCCCGCCGATGCCGGCGGCCCCGGGGGCGCCCCTTCCGCGGCCGAGGCCCCCGCTAGCGTGGGGAGCTTCTACCTGCGAGCCCGCGGCCCCTGCCCCGGACACCCGAGCCATCCCCGACCCGGGGCACCGGATTCTCCGCCAGGTTTTACAGCCTCCCTCGCCTTGGGGCCGCCGCGGAGGACCCCTTCCCGCCACTTCGGACCTCGCGAGCGGGGCTGAGCTGCTTGGGTCGGGGACACCACCAGCCTCTGGAGAAACGGCCTGAAGCACCCCGAAGGAGAGGGGGTCCCAGTCCCCCCACTCCTCCCCTGTGCGCACACCGCCCCCCCCAGCTGGCCTCGAACCTGACTCCCCACCTTTGTCGACCGGGACTGGGGGATGCACCCTAGATCAGAAAGTCAGAGGTGGCCAGGTGGCCCTCCAAATCGGCGCAGACTTCCGAGGAACCTGCAGCCAATTCTCGATCCCCTTAACACCTGCAAGGCCTTAGGAATCGGCTCCAGAAAGCTCGAGCTTATCTGCGTGTCTCTTTTTAAAAATCACTTATAAGATTAAACCTAACTAGGCTTTCCCTTTCAGACTTTCACTAACTCCTGTTTGGCAAATTTTGACATTCACTCTATCCTTCGTCTTTGTAAGGACAAATCAAGACTTAGAAGGCTTTGATTACATACACGGATGGCATGAGTCGTGATATAAAGTAGTATTGTTTTCACGTGTAGTTCGAAGTCATCTCATTTGAAATTAACTGTCATAATTGGCTATTTGGAATATTCAACCTAAAGCCTATCCGCTGCTGTGGTGACGGGTGGAGGAAGCGTTGTGGAACCCCCACATCTAGTGAGGGGTGGCTTATTAATACCACGGCTCACAGCATAACAGAGCGGCTCATTCCATGAACAACCCCGGGGGGATTTCGAACTCTATCATCTGGGCAAAAGATGTAATGAGTGTAACTTCCTGTTTTCTCCAAACGAAAACACTACACAGATTCCTGTACCACTCTGGGACAGAAATCCTCAGCCAGAGCAGAGGGCCGTCGCCAGAGTCCACACTGTTTCCTGCGTAACGTGGGTTTGTCTCTGAAGAAACATCCCACTGGTGTATGTGATCCCCTCTATTGAAATGTGGTCTTTTATCCACATCTCAGTCTCTCTAGAAGTAATGCATTTGTATGTACTTGTCACTCAGGTATGTAATCCCTTAATTTGTGCGGGATGTTGGGGTGTGAACAATTCTTGGTTTACATCCTACACTTTTGAATAACCTCGTCAAAACTTAGATGTATTTAACGCTTTTTTTTTTTTTGTGAGCACATGGTAAAGTTGGAAGTAAAAATGGAAGGTTTATCCCTGTGGCCCATGTTTTCCAGTGTACATATGTGGGTTTTTTAAAAAAAAAAAGTCCCAATTTCTTCCTTTTACTGGAAACTGCGTTTTTTAGACAACTTAAGCTTCCTATTCCCTAACCAGTCTTCTCCAATCTTACCATTCAATATGGCCTTTTCTGTGACTTCCTCCAGCTGAATAGAAGGGCTGAGTGGGTCAACCTTCCCTTTATTGTTTGTTTCCTCCACCCTCTATTTTTCCTTAATAGCAGTATTTGGTCCATCCACACCACCCTCCCTCTTCTCACTGCCTCCATTCCTGGTTCTTAACTCCTTTCTATTCTTTACTCTCCACCTGCCTACACGATCATTTTTAGCAGCAAATTTATTCCATCGACTTTTATGTCCACTTAACATCCAGATTGCATTTACTTTGAGCAGATAACCTTGTCTCCTACCTCACAGGTCAAGGCCACCTGCCGCTGTTTTCTACTTTAAAACATGCTTCCTCCATCTTTCTCCCCCAGCTCAGCAAAACTGATGTCCCTCTTGGATGACCCAAAGTTTGGAGGGATAATTAATTTGATAGATGTCAGAATCAAAGTTCAAAACAGTCTCAACAGACTACATTAAGCCAGAAGCAATGAAATAAAATATAAATTTCAAATCTAGAACAGTATGATGTGCTAGTTGGAAAAGCCCAAGTTTTAGATTTTAGCGAACCTTGGTTTGTATCTAGCTACTCAAATTTGAGTCATATCCAGTAACTCTAATTACTATCTTTTGCTCTAGTAAGGTCAACTGTTAATTTGAGATAAAAATACCTACTTCATAAGAGTGTGAAGAGTAATTTCTTTGTAATTCCCACATAATTCGTGGAACATTCACCAACCAGTAGTTCCCCTCCCTTTCTCATCTTCCACAAAGTGGATGTCTCTGTTGCCATTCATAACACTTTTTTTTTTTTTTTTTTTTTTGAGATGCAGTCTCGCTCTGTCGCCCAGGCTGGAGTGCAGTGGCCAGATCTCAGCTCACTGCAAGCTCCACCTCCCGGGTCTATGCCATTCTCCTGCCTCAGCCTCCCGAGTAGCTGGGACTACGGGTGCCTGCCACCTCGCCCGGCTAGTTTTTTGTATTTTTTTAGTAAAGACGGGGTTTCACCATGTTAGCCAGGCTGGTCTCGATCTCCTGACCTCATGATCCGCCTGTCTCGGCCTCCCAAAGTGCTGGGATTACAGGCTTGAGCCACCGCGCCCAGCCCATAACACATTCTTTAGTTCATATAGACCTGGAAACAGACTCAAAATCCTAACCCATTCACCTTGTATCCCAGAGCTGTCACCACCCTAGAGAAATTCTTGGCCTATTTTGGGTCAGTCATTACCATCATCATACTCATTTTTCAATGAGAAAACCTAAGGCTCAGAGATGTTAGGCAATTTGCTCCAAATCACTCAGCCTGAGCAGTGGCATAACCTGACCCAGTGACTCCCAATTCTGTGTATATCCACTCCTTTACTAAGATATTCTCCCACACTTATGTTGATCCTTTAACCTTTCAAATGTTTTTCCTGGTTCTTATCTCTTCTGTATCCTTCCCCTTGTGTCATGACTGATGGCAGATGATTCCTTCTAAACCGATACCTTCATCATTATAATTTTGCCTTTTCAAGCTTCAGTGGTTCCATATTGTTTACAGTGTTCAATCCAAATTTGGACCTGGCACTTAAGGTTTACCAGATCTTGCCCTAACTTGCTTTTCCAAATTTATTTCCTGCCACTTCCCAGAAGGAACTCTCAATGCCATCCAGTCCTGTTGGTTGTACTCACTCGCCCACAGATGAGCTGTGAATCGCCATTTATGAGGGCCTGCTTCAGTTGTTCCCTTAGCAGAGACCATTCCCCACTTCTTTCCTCCGTCTCCAAATCATGTTCACGTTTCAAGATCCAGCTCACACCCCCTCCCAGGAAGCCCACCTCACACCTTCTACCCAAGCTTTGTGATCTCTCCCTGATTTGCCTGCTCACATGTGCCTTTAAACTAGGTGGTCTGTGCCGTGGGGTGAGAGACAATTTCCTAACGTTCACCTGCCCCCTCAGCACTGTGCCCAAAGAACACTGAAGCAGATTCCAAGCACATTTGCTTACTACTGAAATGAAAGTGTACAGGTGTTACTTGACCAACCATATGAACTACTATTTCTAAGACACAGGTAAGTAACTACCCATCCAGTGCAAAGTGAATGAACAGGATGATTCTCAAACCTGGCTTTGCTTTAGAATCACCTGGGGACTTGACTAATTCCAAGTGCTCCGCTCCAGATCTACTGAATCAAAAGTAGGTGGGAAGCAGCAGGGAGGGAACATGAAACTGCCAGAGTTTATATCCTGGCATCGCGACTTATTATCTGGGGAACTTTAAGCAAGTTACTTAACCTCTCTGTGCCTCAGTTTCTTCATCTATGACATAGGGATGATAATAATAGTACCTTGGCTGGGCGTGGTGGCTCATGCCTGTCATCCCAGCACTTTGGGAGGCCAAGGCATGTGGATCACTTGAGGTGACCAGCCTGGCCAACAAGGTGAAACCCTGTCTCTATTAAGAATACAAAAATCAGCCGAGCGTGGTGGCATGCACCTGTAATCCCAGCTATTCAGGAGGCTGAGGCAAGAGAATCGTTTGGACCCTGGAGACGGAGGTTGCAGTGAGCGGAGATTGTGCCACTGCACTCCAGCCTAGGGTGACAGAGTGAGACTCTGTCTCAAAATATTAATAATATCTCATATAAGGTTGTTGTACATTAAATCCTTAATAAATATTACCTATGATGACAATGATAATTTTTCAATTAAACTTGTTTGTTTAATCCAAATCATGAAATACACATTACTTGTGATTCTTAAAAAAACATTAGTTCTGCTTACAAAAGTAGTTACATATATGCTATAACTATACAGAGTAATTCAACTAGATTAGTATCCAAAGGAAGCAGGAAAGAGATGAAATAATTGAATAATTTCTTCTCTGTAGAGTTTTAAATTCTTTTTGAAGAAGCAGGTGTTTAAGTCCCCTACTTTAATTTCTTTCTTTCTTCTTGTATTTTTTTTTTTTTTTTTGAGACTTGGTCTCACTTTGTCGCTGAGGCTGGAGTGCAGTGGCATGATCATGGCTCACTGCAGCCTCAACGTTTTGGACTCAGGTGATCCTCCCACCTCAGCCTCCCAAAGTACTGGGATTACAGGCATTACTGTAACCTGGCCTAATCCCCTACTTTGGTTTCATTAGAAAGGATTTCATAGCTAATATTGGTCCATCAAATGCCAAATAAACAAGATTTTAATAATAGAGGTAACTAGATATAAAATATCATACAGAAATTTACTTACCAAAGTCACAAACTGTCTGAAGGGGAAACATAGTATTGGTAGACCTCATCCTCTCAACTCTTGACTTATAAGTTGTGTATCTAAACAAATACACAAAGGCCTTGTTTTTATTGCCTGGAATTCCACCAAAGATTCTTAAGTATCATTTCTTAAAGATGCAAATAGCTCTAGGAGGTAGGAGGGTTTGATAGTCGTTCACACATTGGCATTTACTAGTTCAATCAGGTTGCTATTTTTTGTGTGTTTTTGAGATGGGTTTCACTCTGTTGCCCAGGCTGGAATGCGGTGACATGATCACAGCTCACTGCAGCCTCGACCTCCTGGACACAAACAATCCTCCCATCTCAGCCTCCTGAATAGCACCTGTCACCATCCCCGGCTAATTTTAAAAAATTTTTTAAACAATGGGATCTTGTTATGTTGCCCAGGCTGATCTTGAACTCCTGGGCTCAAGCAATCCTCCTGCCTCGACCTCCCAACGTGCTGGGATTACCATACTTCATCTGGCCAGGTCGCCTTCTTTTTAACACAGATCAGTAGCACCTAAACACAGAAAGGTTGGGGCAAATCAAGTTTTGGAAAAACACTGAGTGCCTCAGGGAAGGCTGAAGGCCTTAGGCCAGAGGTTCTGGGAGGAGGAGGCTTAATCTAAAGAAGAAAATGAAGAAAAGGAGAAGAAGGATTTAACAATTTAACCTGTCTGATTTCAGATCTTGCATATTGCCAGTTCTAGGCCTCTTATTTTGGAATCCAGAAAATACTGGTGTAAGATAGTCATGAATTAAGCTTTTGAGTCTGACCTGGGAGACCTAAACACCATCGTAACATTGTATCAATTTGGATCAGATGAAATAGCAATGTATTTTCCAATGATTCAACCTAGTTTCTATGAGATATTTTTCAGAGAAAAGTGTTCTAAAATATTGTCGTCGTCGTCGTCGTCGTCGTCGTCGTTGTCTTCTTCTTCTTCTTCTTCTTCTTCTTCTTCTTCTTCTTCTTCTTCTTCTTCTTCTTCCTCCTCCTCCTCCTCTTCCTCTTCTTTCTTCTTTTTTTTTTTTTAAACAAAGTCTGTCTCTGTCACCCAGGCTGGAAGTGTGGTTGATCACAGCTCACTGCAGCCTTGACATCCTGGTCTCAAGTAATCCTCCCACCTCAGCCTCCTGTGTAGCTGGGACCACAGGTGTGTGCCACCATGCCCAGCTTTTCTTTTTTCTTTTTTTCCTGCAATGTTGCCCAGGTTACTTTTTTTCCTTGTTGTGTATTTCTGGGTTTGTGTGTGTGTGTGTTGTGTTGTTTTGTTTTGTTTTGAGACCGAGACTTGCTATTTTGCCCAGGCTGGTCTCGAACTCCTGGGCTCAAGTGACCCTCCCGTGTTAGCCTCCTGAGTAGCGAGGACTACAATACACCCCTGAGCCCAGCCTAGAATTGCTTTTTCCAGGGAGTTTTCTGTGACCCTTCATATCTCAACCCACCCCAT